AAAAAAAAAAAAAAAAAAAATGACCAAAGAATACAACGATTCTCTAATCGATAAAAAAAAAAAAAAAAAAATAAAGTTACTTTGATATAAAAGATATTACACATTGTGTTTTTATTAACACAACACCGTGTTTATAATTGCCGATAAGTAATATTGAAAATTAGAGGCAGAATTGTTACAGCATGCAGAGCTGTGTGTCGAGCCAATTTAATGGCCAACAACAACAACACGTTCAAACTTCTGCACAAAAAAACAACAAAAAAAAACAAAAAAAAAAAAGGGCAGAGTACTCTCTATTATATATAATGTGGAAGGCGCAAATTTGACAATTTGAATATGCTGCAACATTTTTAATAACGTCTTCGCTTATTAGGATAATCATCCTGACGATTACGATCATTGCCACCTTGCCAACGTCCACTGCCACCACTACTTCCACGACCACCACCCATATTACCCATATCGACCCTCATGTCCATCAAATCCATTATTTGACTACGATCGTCATTGTAACCCCCACGGCTACCACGATCCATACTATTGTAAGCATCCATGAAAGACTTTGGATCCTAATCATCATTGCAGAGGAAGGTGAATTTAATTACGGTTGCGCGCGTCGAGTAAAAACCAAGACGATAACTCGAGGACGGAGCGGTGGAAAAAGTTACGTGCCGACATAATTTGTCACCGAAATGTGATATGCCAACGATTTTCGTTTTAATGCAACGATGGACAACATGGTGTTTTTGTAGATTTTGCATGTACCATAAATACATTTCACAGTTCAGGGCGACCATCCATTGTTTCACAGCAGCACAGGTCATCGTCAATTTTCGTCAAATCACATAGAAAAGAAAGGGGAAACACAATGTTAGATGTTGCTTTTTGTACGTACAACGTTAGTAGAATGGAACGTGTATGAATAACACACGCGCTAAAAACACAGATCATAGATACGAATAATATTATAACTGCTTTCCGAGTAGTCCGTTTTTTTTTTCTCTCTTTTTTTCTTTTTTCTCGATACCAATTGGTCTTATTAAACCAAGCAAATGCCCAACACCACACACGTCATCGACAGTGATTGACAAAATCATCATCGACGTCGGTACACGTTTCGTGAAATATAGATCCCAGTACTCTGTACATATAATACTCTCTCTTCGCATATGCATACTCTCGTTTCGCATTTATAAACTTGTTGTTGGCTTAGATTCATCCTTAATTTCATAAATCACAATCTAATTTACGATTAAATTAGAGTCGTACAATTAAAAAAGCTTGGTATTGCTTTCTTGTAGAATCAGAGTGGGTATGTATTACTAAATTCCTATTCAAGCATATAATTGAATTATATAGGGTATTGTAGTACTCACACCACGCGTCTACACTAGGAACATTTCTCCGAGATCATTAAAGAAAACTTTAATTCACGCAGCAGATGTCAGACTCCAAATTTGACTCTTGACTCCAAGTTCTCGTTAAATGATGTTAGACTTGCTTCTGTGCGTCTATATATAGAGTAGAAACTAGAGAGGAGCTCTAGTGACTTGTATACGAGATTTTCGATTGAAATGCCTAACACATTTAGTGCAGCAACGCCTCCCAAAAATATGATCGTTCTTGATTGTACCAATAACTAGTATCTTATCGTGTTAATTGCGCATCAGTAGCGATAATGGTTAATATTGGTGTAACTTTGCACAATTCTGAAGTTCAAATATTGGTAAAGGCGACAAAGAGACGTGATCAAGATCTCTAAGCAAGCTTTATACAATATATATATATATACTACAGAATTGTGTACATATGTATTAGTTTATAATATGTAAATTAAAGTATAAAAACTTCATACAAATTAATACAACGATAAAAACTCAAAGATATATTCCCTCGAATAAATTCTATACAATTACTTTAAAAATTACTTTAAGCTTTGTTACTTACTGCAAATCAAAATTAATTTCGTTATAATCAGAAACTATGTTTAAATTCTTTGATACTTCAATTTTAAATAACATCTTCACATGAAACAAATAAAAGTAGTTTCTGAATATAACCAACTATAGTTTATTAATAATTCATGTTGGGCATTTGTTGGTTAATAATATATTACTATGGAACTATTTAAACGTTTAGATATAAATTTAGTTTTAACCGGACTTTACCAGATTTTTGCGTGTTTAAAAGATATTAGTTCCATAGTAGCTTTTATGTAATGTAGCTAATTTTTAATATAACTAGAGAAAATAGAACAGAGCCTTTTGTCTGCAAGCATATGGAGAAACCAATGAAGCATGAAGTATTAATTCAGTTTTAGCTCTTATTTTATTGATAAATGCCTAGAAAATGTATCCCTGTATTTAAAAATTTTGTTTATAAAGGATTTATTCGAATTGAATAGATCGTGTTACCAGTAAACTAAAAATTCCCTCAGATATTTAAAAATCATAGGATAAAATTCATATCCTACGGAGGAAAGTCCTCAAGAATTGATTGTGTACGGTGTATATAGAAATAATGATTGCTGTTTAAATGCACTGAACTTGCAGTACAATTGAAAAATTAAAAATTCAAGCACACAGTGAAAGAATTTACATAGTAAGATCTCAACCTACCTAGGCAATTTGTATCTTAAATTATACACGTAGAATTAATAACAATTCCCTAACATTTCTTCAAATTTTTATATATATATTTATCATTTTTGAATGTTCGCGGTTAATTTAACAGCTTTTAATATTGATAAACATCACCATGATAAAATCTTCCAAATAGATATACTTCAAGATATAAAATAATCTTGATAAAATTTTCATAAGAATTTCATGAAACATGAAAAATGTAGTACGCTTCAATGGTTGTTTATGGTTGATAACAATATGTAGAAAAAAATATGTGTTACATGAAGGTAGATAAAAGATTTCAAATATATGGTGTAATGAATATTTTCCTTCTTAGATCACGAAACAATGCTTCAGTTTCATGAAGACAGAGTCACACGGTGGGAAATAGATCCCTATTCGGTAGAAAATTTTTTTAATTTTAATGCCCATTGACACCTCCACATGTTATAGCCAATTCATTAAACTTAATGTTAATGTGAGATACATATGTGATATTAATCTGATTTTAATTTGAATCTGTAGTTGGCATTGTTGCAGACATTAGAACCCTGCTATATTGAAAAGCACGCTTCATGGAAATATTCGTAACTTCCTGTTACTTATGTTTCTCGCAAAAGTGTTTACTAGCAATAGAATGGTTCTTTTTGCCATGCAAAGACACAACCTAATTTTTTTCTAGCAAAAAATTCCCTATATAGATATAATTTGTTTCGTAGAATCATCAAATAGAAATACACATAGATTATCAAAGAAATGGCTTCAGAAAAATCAAATAATTTGTGAAATATATATATATATATATGTATATGTATATATACGTGTATATAAAATGATAATTTAATTGGATACATTACCACTGGCATGCTGCTTCCACCTACAATAAAGTAAAAATTTAAAATTAAAAATAGCTCTAAGAAAATGTTCCATACAGAAATTTTATATTTGATAAAAAATATACAAGATCAATATAAGATATACACTTTCTTTGAAAGAAAAAATTCAATGATATTAACAAATAGATAGCGTTTTATGCTAGAGAGATATTAAAATTTACAACTTTGTTATTTCGTATGCACATTAATAAAAATGCCATATTCAACATTTAATTTAATTAAACGTTCTCAAAAGTTGAAAAACTTACCATCAGGCTGTCCATATCCATCACGATCACTATTACTAACGGAATCATAATTTTTTCCTCCCATTCCACCTCCGCCGCCACCCCTCATCGCTTGTTCCTTAAATATAAAAGGATATAACCTTAAGCATTAGTAAACAAATATATTAATAATTAAACAGCATAAATAATTTCATTATGTAATACGTTATCATTTCTTTATCTATGATGGTAATAATAAATGAAAGAAAATAAATACCGCCTCAAATATATAAGAAACAAAAATTTATAATAATCTTTAAAATCATTTGATATTTATCAATCATAGTATATCCTCATAGTATACAGCCATCTTCAAATTTCAATTTATTGTCGTGAAAATTTTCTTTAATCAAAACTCTCAATGTAATCTCACCTGCATGAACAAATTATTCTCCTGTTGACGCCTATGCAGTTCTTCCTCTTGTCTTCTAATACGCATTGCCATTTCTTCTTGCTGTCTCCTTCGTAATTCCTCTTCGCGCGTTCTTTGTTCCTCGGCCTGTCTTTCTTTCATTTCCCATTCTCTTTTTTGCCTCTCACGATCAGCCTCACGCATGCGCAATTCTGCAATCAATCAAGATCGATTTGTAAAACAAAAAACATTGCTTGTGCCGTCGTAGCAACATTTTTTAATTGCTTTTGTACAATACTTACGTTCCCTTAACAATTCAGTCTCGTGTTCGTATCGTGCAAACTCCATTTGAGCTTCCAATTTCTCTTCCTCCATTGCCATTTCTCTCTTTAACGCTTCTTCTTTTTGTTTGTACAATTCATGGAGCTGCTTCCACCTCGTTCCATACTCATGTTCGAAACTTCCGATCTGCGCAAACCTTGGCCCGATATCACGAGCTTTAAAGAATTCTGGATTTTTACGAGGCAAGGTTTTATCTGGATAACCATCAATGTCATCTTGTTGTTCAAATGGTTCAACAACTACAGGACGTAAGGACCTGCAAATTAAATATATTCGTATAAATATTTTGCCACACTTTTCTTTGATTCAATAAAATTACATTTAAAATGAAATTTTGTATTCCAGTTTTCGGCACACAATACAAACATATATCGTATCATGCTTCCATCGGGAACTTATTTTTCTTTTCCCCAATGTGATAAATATTTTGGCACTCGTTAAGAAGGTTCAGTTCGTTAACAAGCGTGGCTTTGGGGACGGAACAAGTTTTTTTTATTTACAGTAAAGAACATACGCCGTGAGGAAGTAGCATCCTTCCGTGCACTTTCGTAGAGCAAGTTGAGCTGATGGTTTCCTGCAAAATTCTACGATTCCTTCTCCGGTAGACTTCCCTCTATCGTCTACAATAACTATCGCGCGTTCAATTTCACCAAAGACGCTGAATGCTCTTTCAAGTAATTCGTTCGAGACCCAAGGCGTAAGATTCTTAACTTTAATTTGTGAGTAAGGTGCAAAACGCACTTTGAGTGCACGTCCTTTTCGCATTGTACCATCCAACTCGTGTTTTGCTTTTTCAGCGTTTACCCTATAATCCTGTAAAATGAAAATAACTTATAATTTAACAAGTGTAGATATACGTACACACATATATATATGTGACAAATATAAAACAATCATATATAAAGCAGCCAGAATTTATCATCATTTTTTGTCAAACGGTAATTATTTTAATCATTTTGTCTATATAGAAATATTAAAAAAACAGAAAGAAAGACATTGGACTTACCATTCTAAGAAATGCAAAATTCTTTTCCTTATTTACAAAAAGTTCGGATATTTCACCGTATTGTTGAAACATTTGTTGAATCTCTTCGTCTGTGACGTCGTTTGTCAAATTTCCGATATATAAACGATTACGACCACTGAATTTCTTTTCTGTGGTCTCTTGGGGTGGTAGATCGTGCGTAGGTCCGCTAATAGCCATAATTCGCTCCATCAAGCGATCCTAGTTCCAAAAATATGAATGATGTTATAATAAAAGATTGCAAGTTATTATGAATGACAACAAAAAAATACTAATACGTTATTTCTAATTTATGACCTGTTGTATTTCTAATTTCCAATTTATGACCGATATTTCTGATTACACAAAGTCTTGCAAAAGTGAGGAGAGAATTAAAAGAGAAAAATGTAAAAAATTTTCAAATACAATACCAATGGCAATAACGAATGAGATTTGGTTTCAATGCAATGAATAATAATGTAATTACGTATGAGAAATATTTTTATAACTTATAGTGGCTCACACTATTGAGTCTACGTCTATTTTATCTGGATAAAAGAACACGTGAAATGTTGAATACTCCTGTTGAATTGAAAAAATAAAACATGACTTCTTATAGTTTACACTTACATCTTGTGAGCGGTTTGCCATGTTTCTTTCAATACCTCCACGACCACCTCTACCACCACGCATTCCACCACCGCGTCCAATTCCCATACCACCTCCCATACCTCCACCCATTCCTTCATTCATTGTACTGTCCATACCTCCATCCATGCCTCCATGAATGGGATCGTTCATTTTCATCTGTAACACATTTATGAAATTCTTAAAATTCAAGTTGCATTTATGCAGTTTTAAAATATTTCACGAAACATGTAATTTTAAAAGAAATTAATATGTTTGAGACGGTTAGAAGATATTTAAAGAGTAGTCTCGCAATCGATAAAAAACCCATTTCTGCTACCAACATTGATTAATAGTCAATAATAACTAGATACAAATATGTAATTATCATAACGCTAGATATTATTCACGTTATGCCAAATCAAGAGCATAAAATTTTAAAACTAAATAAACAGTGCCTTTCTTCCTAACCTAACTTGTTGCCATTTAGCCAGTTATCTATCAGCAAAAAATCAAGTAATTTAGTCTCGTGTAGTTTGGTTTATACGAATCGTTAGATATTAAAAAACATATTTGTAATAAAAAAAATTAAAATTTTTTTATCTTATATTTTTGTAATGTGTGGCAGCATGTAAAACTGTCATCGTCGATATGCATCGCAGGCACGTTGAACAAAAGTAATTTGTTTGGCGTCTTCCACCTGGTATACATTTTCTATGTATACTGTTTTTTGCTAGGGTTAACTAACAACTCGAGACGATTTTAAACCTAACCTAAATCAAATGTACACAAATATATTTTAATATTTTAGAATATATATATTTTTACATCTAAAAAACAAAATCTGTCGAATATTATGCTTTGCATTTGCTTTGTGTGATACTTTATAAAGCAATTGCCAAGATGCATCCTCGTTGTGAGTGTAAACTTTGCAATACCTCTTAACTTCTGTTAGAATAACATGCTTTCCATTCGAATAAATTTGAAAACAAACTTGAGGAGTACCCATAAGTAATCAATTATTTGGCATTTATAGTAGTATTACTTTTCTGTTGGCTGAAACTGCCCTTTTTTCTAACAATTTGGAATGCAGTGAACTGTACCACTACGATCCCACCAAACACAGGATAAAACATTTCTCAGGGATAAGGTTGGTTTTGATGTTTGGTTTGAAAATTGCCATTGTTTGGAATGCCTTATGTTGTCACAAAGGATCCATTTCTCATCTTCGGTGATGATCTTGAATAGAAATAGATCAGTATGCAATCTGGTAAGCAATGAAGTGCAAACTGTTCGTCAAAGATCTTTGTAGCCCTCGAATAGTTGGTGTGAAATCCACATTCCTTCTTTATGTAAATGCATAGTCATCCACATCGAGGCGTGTTAGACAGGTCATAATCATCAGAGTAGTAAATCCCTTGGGTCAATCCGCTGGTACTTGTTGACTTTCAACACATCGCCATAGGTATCACAAATTTTCCCTCGTTGTTTCTGTTGCAAAAAGTATGCAACTACAAATATGACTCTCAGAAGGTATAAAGTCCATCGTTTTACTGCAGAACAATAAAAAAATTTTAAATTCTTTGCAATAATCAGCTTGTATAGTCGATGCAGAACTAGTGACAAGTAAGCTCTGTAACAAATATTGATTACTTATGGGTACACGTCTAATAGAAGAGGATCATGAAAATCTCCTCTCAATTGGTCAACCAAAGTTTTTGACTGACACATTGACTACTGAGTGGTCTTTTCGTTTTTCTGTTTCTTCTCTCAAAAATAGCACTATTTCACAGACTTTCTTAGAAAATAATACGTCATGTTGAGCCTCTCGATCAACGTTGCCCATATGTTTTATATACCTTGTAATAACATTGGGTTTTTTGATTGTAACTTTAATTTTGCAAATTTGTGTTATAAAATTTTTTTCACAGGATATATGCAAGTGTTATTTTGTCTCACCATGCCAGAACTGTCAAGTGTTACTTTTTTTCCATGGATTTCTCATGGAATTGTTTTTTTTTTTTATCACAACTTCTTCCAAGTTGTCAGAATCGCCGCCAGTTAGTAAATGGCATTTCGCAGTTTGAGTAAGTCTTGAGCACAATAACAAACATAAATCATTTTCTAAGTGGAGTTAAATTTCTTGCAGAGACTTTGGAATCACTAGATTCCAACTGATCAAGAATTTCTAATTCTTCTACCAACGACATAATAAATCTTCTACTCGGTTTAACTTTTGCAGAGATCTTTGGAGTCGTGATTGAAGAATATCATTTCTTATTTCTGACGTTAAATACAGTGAGAAAAGATTGTCTTACTTAACAAACGAAGCCGGACGTGTAATTTTTATGTTTACATAAATCATAGTTTTTTAATCAAGTGTATTTATCAGACTCGATGAAGTGTCCATTAAAATATCCGACGCTAAACGAATATCATAAGTGTCGGTCCCGCGGGACCGACGCTAGCCGAGCGAGTGTTTGGTGTCGGTCCCGAGGGACTGACACCGCCTCGAACGTGTTAATAATCGGCCAATATCTAACTTGTAACTGAAATAAATTTCCTTTTGAAATAATACAACTAATTTTGCACTTTAATCACAACAATTGTGCCATAGTTAAATGCGCACTTTAAACAAATAATCCTCTTATCGCACAAGAATTAATGCGAAATGTGATTTTCGAGTCAATTCAAAAACGCACACGTTTTCACTCATTTCATAAATAAATCCTGATATTAGTCAAATTCAATGATTGATAAAATTTCATTCGTCCTTTCCGATTCATTTTTGCATGTACAATTATCTTACAGTCAATTGTTTACGTTTTGCGGACCTTCTATTTTTCTTTTGAATGAACTCGAATAGAAAAACATGTGGTGGAACAAGAAGAAAGTTTATTGATGTTACAGTCCATTCAACAAATCGTGTCAATAAAAGTAAACAAAATCCGCAAATAACAAAGCCTACAATAAATGTAACTAAATTGAATTTAATACTTTTCCAAGACATAAATAAAATTTTATATTCTTTACACAATATCAAGATTATTTGCAATAAAACTAAAGACAATAATTTGTCAAAATTATTTACTATTTAAATATTAACATCATACTTCAAATTTCATGTGTAATAAACTTGCAACAAACAGAAAAAACATAGAAACAGAATTCTATTTCTTGCTTTTCTTTGCAAGATGATATGTTAACTTTACAACATTGAGTTTTTTTAAATATTAAGATAACGTATTTAATACGTATTGTAAAAGTCGAACTCTTTTGCAAATATAGAAAAATAATGGAACATGTAAAGATATTCTTTATAATTCGTGGTCACTCCACGCAGATTGTGAAAAAAAGAAGCACTTACATATTAGATTTAGAAGTATACCTAATTAATAAAAACTTTTTAACATATACATATATTATAAATTGTGAAATACATTCAAAGTTTTTATATGATAAGTTTAACAGTACATCAACATTGATATAAAATATATTCAAAGACCAATGAAATAACATAATTCAAATTGAAATGTATCATTCTAACCAAATACACCACATTTAATAGTCAACTTTAAGTCAAATTGTTCTGAATATTTTGTCAGTATTAACCGGAACTATTCCAAGCAAATAATTGTTTTCAAAAGCTGATAATTTAATTATGAACAAAAAGCAATTCAAGCAAAACGAGCTTTGTGTTTGAAATCATAGATATTTTTTATAAAAAAATAAATAAGAAACCAAATATTTGTTAATTTCTCGTAAGTATTATTATTAACTTATTTGAGTCTCAATTAATATTATTAATTTATTAGAGTCAACACGGAACTCATAAATGTTAAAGCTTTGTAGATCTATCTAACATTCATTCATCTAACATTTAAGATCTATAACCCTTATAAATTTTTAACCCTTTATACTTCGAATGCCAGGTGTGCTACAGATTGATGTACAGTCAGAAGACTGTACATAATTATTCATTTAAGAGTAATTATAATAATGTATTGTAGCCATTAGAGATTAACCACTAGATTGCGTATTTTTATGCATTTTTAAGTAATTTTAATATGTAAAATTACACATAATGTACACACTTTACAAGTATTAAAATATCCAAATAATATTTTATAACATTTGATATATAAAACAACTCCCTATTGAGATTGTAATTCTAAAAGATATGAATTTGCATAAAAACCTACAATATAATAATCTAATAATTTTTTACAAGATGAATGTGTTTGTGGCAGACAATAGAAACGTAATATATATCATCGTGTATATCATTTATCAAGTACAAGTCAATTATCAAGTCAAATTATAAAAAAATTTAAAAGTAAGTTGCCAAGTGGAAAGAGTTAATGCATTGAGTTTTCAAGATTTGAACTTTATATAATACTACAGCATACGTTTATACAGATCAAATACGTTATCATATACATTTAATTAAAAATTAAAAGAGCTAATCTAAAACGATTGTCGATAATGATTAAATAAATTGATATATTTATAAATATAATTTTAATTATAATAATTATATAATCTTGTTTTATGACAGTCAAAATGTATTGAATTTTATATGTTAACCCTTTCAATATGAGCACTGTAAGCTTATTTTTTTGAGCAGATATATGAAGTCGCAGTTCTCAAAGAGTTTACATTATCTGCACTAAAATACGCATATTGAAAATTTGACAATTTTTGAGACGATACAAATCGTAGTATACTCGATTAATTTTAGTAATTTATTTCTGCATGCGTTAACACATATAAATTCTATAAATTATTGGTATCAGTACCAAAAGTTAAATTAATTCAAATTTTCAATAATTTTTAATTTCAAACTTCCACTTGAAACCTAAAAAATTTTTATTTGCTACAAGTACGCTAATAAACATACTTGAGTATCAACAATTAAAATTTTTTTTAACCACGTGTCGTGAGGTTGAGAATACTCATCTACCATCTTAATTTTCGTACGCGCCATTTTGTATTACACTGACGAAAAATCAATATATGCAATAATTATTTCCAACATATAGAAATGTGGTAAAAAAAACAATTTCTATTGATAATAAATTTTACCCATTCATAATAGAACTATTCATTAAAAAAAAAATGTTTACTTTTTATCAGCGTTCGTCTTTCAACTTAATATGTACTGCAATTTAAGAAATGTTTGTACAATCACCAGTTACTGGTAAATTGATAATTACGTTCAATGCGTATTTTTTAAGATACGGTTAATCATATAGTACATTGTATGACAAAAATACACTATACTTTATTTCAATTGTAATACTACAGTAAATCGCCGAATATGTGACGAACAAATAAAGATTACAATTACGAATAACTACGTTGGACAAATTAAAGAAGTACAAGTTTCAAACCGGTCAAAGTATTACGCATCAGTTTACAGCAAATATGGCGGTACGTGTAAAGAGTATAATTTCGAAATATACGGATGTAAAGAAGGGATATATAAAATTTTCTTACCGGTCCATCGTTATTTCTGTTTCCTCCGCCCATTCCACCGCCACGTCCACCGGAAAAACGTGTTCCTCCTTTTCGACCACGCGGACCGCGATTACCGCCACCGGGAGGATTTCGTTCCCGTACATTTTCGTTGCTATTTTCCGTAGACGTGTTCTGCGACTCGGATTTTATTAAATTAGGCGATTCAGTTCCTGCCATCGTCCGTTCGAATGAAAAACAGCAATTGTTAATAGCAAAATTCTTCGTGAAAAAAAAAGGTACAACACTCGCTCGCGACTTTCCTGCGAAACGAAGCGTTCACTACGGCGTCCGACAACGAAGAGAACAAAGTAGCAGAGTCGGAAATCTACTAGAGAAATCGTCACACAATCGCACTATGTACTTTCGTTTTCGGTGCATTATGGGTACATCCCTCCAGCAACGCGATTGGTCGTTTCGTCAATGCGGATTGCGTTTGATTGGTTACTTTAAACAGACGCAACGTTGCCACGTATAAATATGCGAAATTAACCGGAAGTAATATTTAGCTCCATAACTTTATAATTATCCTTGATATTCTGTAACGATTATTTTTATTTACTATATACTGTGTTAGGACATGCATTTTATATTTTAAATGATACAATATGTTTTACAATGTTAGATGTAGTCGCGTATTTTAAAGTGACACACATTTTCTTAAACTTGATGAACGTAGTATATAAATCATTTCGAAATGGGATTTATTTCTGAGTTCGACATTTGTGAAATTTGTGACTTATTCTTTCAATTATATGATAAGTTTTAACAAGTAATTTTAACAAAAATGCGAGTTTTAAGATATATTTATACGTGTATATAAAATTCATATTGTATTTATTGTAAAAATTGTTGTATTGCATAGTCTATGGAATGAGTCAATTCAGTGACTGTGTACAAATGCATGTGGTTAGTGCGAAAGAAAATTAAATCAGAAAAAAGATTTCAGTCAATAAAAAAGAACGACGCAATTTTTTTGTAAAATTACTTGTATTTATTAATATTTATCTGTCGTTTTCATTTTTCCAACTGAACTTGTCCTTTGGCGTTAAATCGACACACTGCTAAAGAATTAATAATATCTACAACGAAAAAATATGTAGTTTAATTTGTACATTGTTTTATTAACAGTAAATAGATTTTTATTCAATAAATAAGCGTATAACTTATCTGAGGTATACAGATACTAAGTTTCACATCATTTCATGACATTTATACATTTTAGAAGAGAAATGTGTCAGAATGACACGAGAAACACACAAGGATTAAACAAATTAAAAATTTATGATTTTAAGTGTTAAAATTCAGACAAGTGATCGGTGAAATCGTTACAATATATCCATATCGATCTTGCTCACTTTCTTATTTAATCTTTCGTAAAGCGTTGATTCGTTTCTAGTCCAATGTGGCAACCAAACCTAACCTAAACTGGTTCCTTAAATTTTTTTATTCGTTTGTTTTATTTAATTATTTCATTCGTTTGCACTTGTCAGAAACGAAATTCAATTTGTCTCGAAACTGGTTTAGCCTGTCTAAAAAATGATTTCAATATCACCGAAGATGGCATCGTAGTCGCATACATCTTTTCACAACGTTTACCATCTGTGTGCGATACGATTACTTTAGGTACAAGTCGCAGAAATTGCTGGCAGTTCGATATATTGATTTTTCACGAACAATTGCTGCTTACTACGTCGTGAGTAATCGCAAGAAATTTTTGCAAAAAATCTATTAATATAGAATTTTAAACACATATCCTGTTAGATATGTGAATATTATCCAAGATTTTAAAATATAGTTTGTTCGAAAATCGTGTGCGGATACTCTTTAATGTATTTCATCCAACGTCGTGATTGTCGTCGATGTTTTTATTAATAGACGTTTCATTTTTTAGAGAATAACATGCAAAAATGATGCTCGCTAGAGTGTGTCGGAGTACCGTTACGCCAAATTTGGCCAGTCTACTGAAGACTCCAATTAGTTCGAAATCGTTTATTCCGAGAATTCAAACTACCAGATTATTCGCTAATGATGGACGAGGTACATTTACAAGATCTGCTCGTAGATCAGCTACTATATCGGAGCAGGCGGTGGCTCCTGCAGGAGAAACTGGTAAGATTTCAATTTGCAAAAGTACGGAGGAAGTCTGTGCAATATGATGCAATCACACGCAATCGTGCTATTTAGGTTATTTCAAAATAAATTGCATCAAATTGTTTATTCACTGTTGCTTTATCAATTGAAAGTAGAAATAAAATATAACTTTTAAATACTTCTTTCTAAATTTTTCATTCTTCAACATCATGTGCGCACGATACATAATATCGAGGCAAGTTAAAGTTAATTTCTTCACTTTTATGTCCGTCAGCATTCACTATCGGAAAAGGAGTTGTCGCTGGTGGTGCTGTGCTGGGAATAGGTTCACTGTGCTATTATGGTTTGGGTTTTTCGCCATCCATGGGAGCCATAGATTATGCGAGGTATTTTCTTTGAACAGAAATGTCATCAGTCGTAAAATAATAAGAGGAAACATAGTGAAATGAATGATTCTTCGCAGGTTATGGCCCCAATATGTGAAGGATAGAATCAGAAGTACGTACATGTATTTTGGCGCATCTGTGGCAAGCAGTGCCGTAGCTGCAGCACTATGTTTACGTTCACCAACTATGATGAACTTGATGATGCGTCAAAGCTGGGTAGCCATGTTGCTAACGTTGGCGTCTGTTTGGGGTAGTGGAATATTAGTGCAGGTTCTTCCGTATCAAGAAGGTTTCGGCACGAAACAAATAGCATGGTTGATTCATACTGGTGCTGTAGGTGCATTCCTCGCACCTTTGTACTTACTCACAGGACCTTTGGTACTTAGAGCTGCCTGGTATACCGCTGGCGTAGTTGGTGGTTTATCAATGGTTGCCGTCTGCGCACCAAATGAAAAATTTTTGAAAATGGGAGGTCCATTAGCAATTGGTTTGGGATTTGTATTTGCAAGTAGCGTTGGATCGATGTTTTTGCCACCTACGACAGCTCTTGGATCTGGCTTATATTCAATATCTTTATACGGTGGCTTGGTGCTGTTCTCCATGCTTCTTTTGTACGATACGCAAAGAGTTATCAAACAAGCAGAAACGTATCCAACTCACGACCATCTCATGAGACCGTACGATCCAGTTAATAAGTAAGTAATTCGATGAAACGAAACGTTTGATAAATGCACGTGCAAATCTGTACATATTTGTGCTTTTTATTTCAGCGCGATTGCTATTTATATGGACGTAGTGAACATCTTTGTACGAATTCTCACGATATTGGCAGGTGGAAATAGGAGACAAAAGTAAGGGAACGATAAATATCTAATCTCCTCCCGGTAGCATATACAAAAATTATGGAGTTTTACTTTTCATACACGTTTAAAAAATGTCGTGAGTTAGTATTGAATTTAAAATTATATTGTAAGAAATAACCTTTACATGCATAATATATTTTCTGTTGTATTATAAGATTATATGTAAATTACTAGCTCGTTTAAAATAAAATATAAAATGTAAAAAGTAAATTTCTCTCGTAAACCTACAAAGAATATTTATGCATACTTCAACGATTAGCGGTAAGTAAATTAAATGTAGTTTATTGTCGTTTCTCAAACGATATTGTTCGAGAACAAAGTAAGATACAGCTACTAAATTAACAGGTAGTAGATATTTTACAAAGTTAAGCCAATCACTTAATTTTAAACCGAGATACGGTGAAAGGGTTTGTCAATGCGGTGCAATTGATATTGTACATGGTGTCGGAGAATGGTTAAATCGCAGGTTAAATAGATTGAACGTCGTGCCATTCTCGACACGATTACCTTTTAAAATCCGTTGTAACATTTGAAGCACGTGAAGTGTCTCAAAGACACCGTTCTTTTCAATTGGTAGTAATTCAATTGCTATCACACTGCAATTAATGATAATTACATAATCGTATTCGTTTACATGCGTATTCGTAGTTTGATTAGACGTGATCATGAGGAAGGTTCACCGTTTCAAGCTAAAATGATCTTTTTCTAGGAAAATAAATTTTTATTAATAAAAAAGTAACTCATCGATAGGCAGTAAGAGTAGATAAATGCAAATAAATAATATAAAAATCATCATACTTCGAAATATATCCTCATCGAACGGCGATAAGATTCGAATTGAACATACATATACAACGTTCGATCAATCGGTAAACAAACATTTTAAAAGAATAGACGAAGGATTCTTGATTTTTTACGCATGATTTTAAAGCAGCACCTTGAGATTAAATTTAAATTTCTTATTGCCTAGTTTATCACTGATACGTATTTCACCTGATATTTCGTTTTTCATTTACAGAATTGTTTTGATTCGCCCTCCTAGATTTAAAAAACATATTACTTTGAACTTGTTTCTTTCTCTTTTTTCTTCCTTCTCTCGTGATTTAGTTCTCTTCTAAACGGGTAGGATATATTTTAAGATTCGTCCATTTCGTATTCCGCGATGATACATGATGTGTTGTCGTTGATAGTTGATAAGTAAACAACGTTCAAGCATTACGAGAGGTTACACATTTACAGAATCTGACTTTGCGGCCAACGACGACGACGAATGCCTTCTGAGATAACCAGCGAAGAGTTGTCTCGCTTGATTGAGCACTCGGACGACGTTGTGCCGGCGAACCATTTTGTCGAAATGCATTGCCATTTCATTGTAATCCATTTGATTGCGGATAACAAAGTCTCGGTGTTGTAGCAACAGGGTGATGCACAGGAACATGAGAAACGGATTACCACCGCCAAATTCGTGAGGCGGAGGTAGAGAACTTTCTCCCAACTGATCTTCGCAAGTTCCCGCTGGAATGAGATTCGTAAGCTCCGTAGCTTCTTCGCAGTGTTCTTGCACCGACTGTTTTATCGGACTCTCTTGTACCGTTGTGCTCTGGTGCCAACTCTCCGCCTCCTCGCTATCCGAAGCAGATTCGGACCTACGTATGTAATTTCTGATTTGAAACTTTTGTGTTTCAACAAAGTCGTGTTTCGAACGTCGTTTGGAACGACGTGCAGTACGTTAAATGGTAAACGTTGGTTTTATACCAACCTTGCGGTACGTTTGAGTAATCTAATCGGAGTAACGGATTTAACGCCGTTTTGGTCTTCCAATATCTCGCCGTCGTACTCGAGTTCCGCTTGCTCGTCGGGTGTAGCTGGATGGTTCTTTTGCTGCAACGTGTGCAGAGGATTCTCCCATACGAACACGTCGGCGGCTGGACTACACCTTGCCAATTCTGTATCTGTTTCGCTATCGACCAAGTCGCTCTCTCTTTTCGAAAGAACGCAATCACACTGTTGATTGTCGCTTGGCGGCGACGGTCCGAAAACTTGTCGATCGAGCGACTCGAGTTCCAGTCTTAGTTCTCTAGTCATTGAAGTAGTCATTGGAAAGAAATCCGTTGGATCGTCCGGAGAGCTTGGCTCGTCTCTTAAAACTCTAATTACTCCGCTCTCGCTGGAAACACGCCTAAAAAGAGAATGATACATTTTTTTAAAACGTTGTAGAATTATCTTTACCTTTTCTCTTTCTTTGTTTGGAGAAAAGAAGAGCTAAATGCTAAAAAAGAAAAGCTAAATGCTAGTAATTGAAATGTATTGTCTTTATTATACACGTTTTCACCTCAACTCTGGTTCGGCATCGCTTGGCATTACTTTGCTACGATTCAGGCTGGTAAAGTTCAGAAATTCGTTCAGATTTTTCACCACTCGAGCGCATTTCTTCTCGCCGTCGTTCTCGTTATTTCTACTAGTTTGATCTCTGCCGCCGGGTAACGACAGTCTTTCTTTCAATTCCGACAAGTTCACGCGTTTCGATTTACCAGACAGCGAATCTGTACTTAGGCACTTTTCCGTAGACTCTGTGTTTCTTCGGTTTTTCGCTGTTGTTAAATCGTTCTCTGGCTCAGAGAACGTCTCGTAAGGAGAGCTCGATCTGTAGACAGCGAGTTTCACTTTACTTCGTTATTATTTCTACCGCGCTGCTTTCGCCATCGTGCTTTCACCATGAGATGTACCTTTTTGAGTCACCGTTAGTCTCCGTAGAGTCTCTGCTTTGCAAAGACGGATCCTCCGTGTTGTTCAGAGTTTTTCTTTTACCAGCAGTAGCGATACTCGCGGAAGAGCTTTGTCGCCTGATGGCGCAGACTTTCGTGTACGCGTTTTCGCGGATATGTTTCACGTTTGGACTCGGCGGCGGCGAAGGCGGAGGGAAAGGTACTTCGGCCAAATTAAGCTCTCCGTTTGGCGGCGACGCCGGCAAAGCAGCCCACAAAACCTCGAGCATTCTCAGAGCGTCGTCCAATGCGAATTCACGCTTCATTTCCAACAGAAGCCATCGGTAACAGAACAATAGATCATCCGCTTGATGGGATTTCAAGTAAGCGTAAAAGTCTGGATCGTAATGTTGTAAACCTTGTAAAAAAATGCAAATGGTTCATAACGATTGCTACAAACACACACACACACACACGTGAGTACAGTTTATACACAGTTTGTATGATTCGATATTTTCATTTACATTCACAATTACCTGCCTGTGCCTCTCGTGTTTCAACTTTTTTTTTTTTTTACTTATATTCGATTATCGGTTACACTCACAGGTTTTTACGTACCTTCGGCTAAATGAGCAAACTTCGTAGTCATTGCAATCCCGTCAAGCATAAAGTTATCTTTCAACCTTCTCATAAGGGCGCACAAGCATATGTACGCTTGCGCTTCGTCTCGCATAGTGACCAGCAAGGGCGAAGCCAGATCGCTCATACCTTGGCAATAGCTGACACTCGGGTGATTCAAGGCATACGTGGTTAAGATGTTAAAGAGACTGGCCGTATTCTGATTATCGTCAGAACCACCGTAAAACTTGTGGTGTCTGTCCGTTCTTAGAACGTCTTTCCGTACCATGCTCGTCACGTACGCCAGGTCCCCGACGTTCTGTCCCTTTTGCACCAAGATTTTCCATCTTTCTCGCAGATTTTGATACTCTTGCGACTTCTTCTTCATGTAATCCATCCTCTCGCGGCCGGACATGCCTTCGGGGTACACGTTCAAGATGTGCTTCCAAACCACTTTCCGCAGGCTAGGCTCGATCCCACCAAAGTATATGACAGCTCTTAGTTCTTTGGGATGTATCACTTGTCCAATGGGGTCCAAGAAACGTCGGAACTCGGCGTCCGTCAACGGCGGTCGTGGCGGTTGGGCACTTTGCTGATGCGAAGAGTCTTCGCTCAAATTGCCCAAAGCACGTTGAACCATGTTTAATGTTCTTTCCATCTGCAAAAGGCGACTCTATTTTTTACAACGTTCACGCCTGTCTCACGCTTGAAATGAATACTTTCTCAAAATAATTTAACCAAGGGAAAAGTCAACTCCTTTGGAAGCTTGCGCTTTCGTTTACACAATGCGTGTTCCACGTATTTAAAATCAAATCAAGAAGAGAAATTTGACTTATTAACTGCTGCAAGACTGCGCAGATATATCATAGAAACACAATGTAACGAGATAAAAGAGTACAGAAGAATTGAAGACATTTTGTATTACCAAAAGCAACAAATGTCGCAGAGTTGAACAATCGAATTGCTATTTAAGGATATAATTTGTTGCTTTTTCAACGTTTTCAACATATGTGTTTCAATACTATATCGCAGACATTCCAAGATACACACACACACTGATTTCACTATACAAACTTGAAAAATAGTGCAAAAAAGAGTGCGTATGTGTGCAAAAAAGAAATTCGAAAGGAAGACGCAGTTCAACTGCGAGTTGAGTCGTGGACGAATGAGGGAAAATTGACTGAGATGCTCGCCTTATTCATTATGAGACCTGGTAGCTTGGGTGTCTTGTATGGAAACCCGGTTTCTTGTCGAGTCGACACTTCCTGTGCATTCTGTTCCCAGTAACATTCGCAGTCGCCCGTCTCTCCGAACGGCTTCAAGTTGACTTGCAGGTATAGATACGGTTCAGAAGCGCTGCAATAACGAATATGTTATCACACAAGTGTCTCATTGTGTTTCGTATTTTTAGATACGAATGGTATTACATAAAGGTTTACCTAATGAATGCTGCGTCCAGGTCCCAGTCAGAAAGCAAAAACAGATACGTTTCTGACCCGTAGTCATCTATCGCTCGGTAAGAAACTGTGAATTCTCTGAAAATATTCAGGAAAACAATTTCTTTTTTTTTTTTTAAATAATTTTTCTTTTTTTTTTTTTTCTTTTGGAATTAATATTTTTCATTTATCTGCAAGTCAATCAAAATTCAAACAAAATTAATATCTTCTCTTCGAATCTTCTTCTTAAAATTATCGTACTGTATCCGACACATTCTTTAACTACAAAATATTTTTTTTAGTTTATACGTATATTTAGCAATTTTAAGTTTCTGATTTAAATTATAAATATCACATGTTACGTTATATGTCTATAGTGTGATCGGGTTTTGCCTTTGGATAGATTTAACACAATCTTAAATATAAAGACACAGGATATTTATGCGATTAAAAATATCACAAGAGGCCATATAATAAGATAATGCATACTTTTCCAATCGTTGAGGTTCTTACTTGGCCGATTAAATTTGTTTTTTTGTTATTCCGAAGCACACTTGCATTAGAAATGCAAGATGGTAAAACAAAGAATCTAAATTTGTACTCTTATACTTTCAAAATATAACGAAAATACTATTTTTCTTTCCTTGGAGGTAGTATAAATAAAATTGTCGTTTAACGAAATATCAACTTCCAAATAAAATCCCGAAGATTTCGAGGTACGTGTTAAAATTATATTCAACTTGTAAGATTTTATATCAGGGGTACCCACAAGTAGTCAATTATTTTCTAAAACAAAATTTGTAGTAAAAGTTTTCATTTCTTAATCTACTATGTAATCTTCATCATTATTAACGGCAGTTTGCCATTCTTTCCTGCAAATTTTCAATCACCTTCTTATAGAAATCTAGGATCCTAGGATAAAAGGTAAATTATGACTCAAGATGGCTCCTTCTACAGAAAAGATCTGAACAAATGATAGAGCAATACCTGGGGAGTAAGGCGAGTGCAGTAAAACTTCTCATTGCAATTCTTTGATTTTTTCCTGAGTAAGTTTCGCTGCATGGGGGCATTGTCACGTTGCAGTATTGCATCTTTTCTCTGGACTAAAGATGTTCTCTTTTTCAATAGTTCTGAATGCAGCCATTGACGATATAACTTAGCAGTAACTGTTCCTCCAGGTTTCAACAACCTGAAGTGAATTATGCCTCTACAGTTTCACCAAATATACAGTAACACTTTCCTCTCAGTGATAAGTTTGGTTTAACGGTTGGTACTGGTGTTTTATTTGAAGAGAGTCATTGCTTCGAACGCTTTGTTGTCACAAAGGACCCATTTTTTCATCTCCGGTAACGAGATTCTACTAAGAAATGGATCTCTACGAAATCAGGATAGCAAGGAACCTTTGTATAGTATAGTTGACCATGTAGACTCGAGGCTTGTTGATAATTCTTGTATACTTAATTTCGGATCAAACTCCACTAGAGATTTTAAGATGTGATTATCAAATTCAACTGGTCGTCCACTTCGACGCCTGTCAGAGAGATCATAATCACGAGGAGCAAACCTGAACCAACAGGTTCCAATGTCGACACTTATGGACACCTTCAATACATCTTCATAAATATCGAAAATTTTTTGTTGTTGTCACCGTTGTATGAAATGCCGTATGAAAATGGATGGAACGCCGCCATTTTATTACAGAGAAGTAAAAATAATTGGTTACTTATGGATACCCCTAATATTCACGTTATATTATTTATTTCTTAATGTTTCTACACGCAGCACGTCCATCGTTAACCTGTATGAATCGTTAAATGTATTACATTTTATTTTATTTTACAGTTTCTAGCTTTCACAACTAGAGGATGAGGAGAAACTCAAACCAATTGGGAACAGTTTCGTTCCTCTAATCTAACGGGTATGTGTCCGTAAAACTGAATATATATGCACACTTGGGTCAGCCGAAGGTATCTTTTCCTGTTTGCGATATAACACACTCGATGATTAATATAGCAGTAGGATCTTACCCTTTGATATCGAAAGCTTTGATGAGTATACTTTGAAGCACTTCGATGGATGTTATCTGTGGATCCACGCTGAACTTCCGATATTCCGGCTGGTGTCTGGTTTCGCATTTCTAAACATAAATACATAAATACATTCCTTCCATTTCCCTCTATCTATCTATCTTTCTCATAAGATATGATATATTTGTGTTTGGAATACAATTGTTTTCAATAGAGTTGAAGACGCGTGATGATAACATTTGGGAAATTTGACTTTATCGACATAAAAGGTAGAAAAATATATGATAATTGTTCAATTACTTTTAACTTTAACGTTTGAATTAATTTGAATTCTTAATTTTTAATTGGTGATTCGTTTGTCAATAATTGAAGACTTTTGAACTAACTCGAAACTAACAAAGTATCATTTTGATTTTGAATCCAAAATTCTAGGTTGTACTCTGTGACAAAGATCATTATCTACTAAACATCCAATATAATATATATATATATATATTTGCGCACGATTAACGTGTAATTATTCTTTTTGGTCAATCGACTTTTGATCTTGGTTTTGGCTTGGCTTGCTGTATTTGTTTAGCGGTATGTGTTTTCCAGTTTTCGGTTTCAATTATAATTTATGATTTAAGAAAAAATGGCAAAAGTAACGTGAATATAAGAAAGTCGAATGAAATTTATCATGTTGCTATGCTTGTTTGAATTTAAAGAAAGTTGTATTTCAAGGAAATTTATTGTACAATTACGCAAGTCGAATATTTAAATAACAATAATATAATATAACGTGTGTAGTTGTATTACAAAAAAAAAACAACTTGATTTTGACAATTGGCGAAGATAACAAGTAAAAGGTAAATCAATTAATTAATTAATTAAAAAAAAAAAGAAAAAGGAGATGAGAAGGTACCGTAGGTGATATAAGTATTTCTACGTCTAAGATTAAAATTAGGTTTTGGTTTTCAGTTGGCAGTTAAACGATTAACAGCAGTTACAACAGTTGTTATGTAAACGATCATCTAATTATAGTAGTCGTTTCAATTTTTGTCGAATGCGTTGGATTAATTCTTTGGACGGGCAAATAGAGATATATATGAGTCAGAGAGTTGTTAATTTTGAAGAAAAGTATAGAATCCGAAAGTCCTAATTTTGGTTTCGAAATTTGATCACTAATAGTATTTGTAAAAAGGATACCCTTTATAAAGAATGACTGTGCTACCAATATCGCTATACTGCAGGCTATCTAACGATTACTAATATTAGCGAGGATTGTTAATTAGTAACATTCATCAGAAATTTTTTTTTTTCCATTAATATTTCGAAAGCTAAAATCAAATATCAGAAATAAAAATTTTATATTTCAGGGTGATACCTTTCCCTCCTATCTGTCGCTTAAAAGTTTCATATCGACCCGTCATCGAAGCCTTTCGGAATTACTTTTGACATTTAAGTTCAACATGCGATGTAAAAACAAGGATTAAATTTTAGTAAGTAAAAATTTAAAAAATCACACGTCTCGTATCATTGTACTTCAAAGTACACAAGAAACATATCATGTTTTCGAAAATGATCTGCGTTGCTTTGATTGAAATTGGATTTGTCCGTTCATCAGACGATTTTGAGGTTAAGGATAAATAAGGACAATCAAGTTATCGTCAATTTGGTATGAGATATGACAAAATGTAAACTATGTAAGATATGAAATATATATTATACAGTATGAAATATATATTTCAAACATCTCAACGAATTCGAATGTTGTATTATCAATGTCTGCTAACAATTAGAAAATTATCTGCTACTAGCAAGTATTCCATTCTGATGACGTAACGAATATTGAGGTATTCGAAAAGCAGTTCACACACTATACAGTAATGTTTCTATATGGAACGTGTTTCAGGTTAAAAATTTTCTCGCTTCACGTATCAAATTATTATTGAATAAACAAATGCGCGCAAAGAGATGAAATACCATGTAAAAATTTCAAAATTAATAAAACTTTACACTAGCAATATACATACGTATGTACATAAATCGATCTTTCATTTAATTTAATATATTGAGCCACTATATACGTGCTATCAGAAACGTGTTAGGAGTTATTCGAGATACTTTTCAACTATTTTCAGAAGAAAAAGAACACGCTCAATAATAAATACGAAAAAAATTCACGTATGTAGACATCTCCGTAAAGTGATAAATTTAAAATTCATTGTCGACGTTGGATGGAAACTCGGGTTTTCAAACGACATTGACAAACATCAAAACATTCTGTCTGTTTTATCACCTGATAAGCAAAAAACTGTTTTATCATCTGATAAGCAAAAAAACTCTCTACTAGTTGTGTCGCACAGAGGTATACATATTTTGGAACCGGTAAAACAGCGACCTGTTCTAATTATTTTTTACAGAACCTTGATCCTTATTCCAATTACGGAACGGAACGGAATGCGACGCGTGTTGCCGCGTTTTCTAGCTGCTGCGAGGAATTATAACTATCTAAAAAGATCATGCGCGTATATATACATTTATATATTTAAAGCTTTCTATGGTTGGTAACAATTTGCAATTACCCAGAGAAAGGCAGAAATGAAATTTTTCTTATTACATATGGAGAGGTCACGTTTCAATCTCAAATGCAGTCAAATGCACTGTTAAAAATCAACGCAACTTTTATTACTTTGAAACTTTGAAACCTTGCGTTTTTCGTCAAAAATGTATCAATTCGAATATTTCGGTTATAATAACGTTACCAATATGTAGAAAAGAATGAATAGTAATTGCTTTCAGCAAAGTATTTTTCTCTAATAAATTTGTCTGTCGATCTTACTCGTTTATAATCGTTTGTCCTATCGATATACGCGTAGCGCAATGAAACTGAAATTCGCTGAAATTTCATGCAAGGTCGGAACAATGGTGAAACGTGGAAACGTCGTTGTACACACATGTAACAAACTTTACCTTCACTTTGACGCGCACGGCTTCTCTGGGGCAGCCAAACATGTTTGACGTTGATGTGCAGGCGATATTTCGTGCAGACGAAAAAAGGATGAGAAGGCTCGATAATTCAAAACAGTTCCAGATTCATTAAGACGCGCACCATCTCGAGGTCGTTCTCGTCCCACTGAACCGAATGCGACATTTTTGTGATTCGGTGATTCGGTTTAACACAGGTTAATTAATTCGCTTCGCTCGATGCACAGTAAGCCAACTTGAATCTTTCATTTCTCGCAGAGCGAAGCATGTTCGCGTCTTATCTCAGGCTACTGTATATCACTGTGTTTCCCTGACAATAAGAAATCAAAGTTTCGAGCCACGCACCAATCGACACACTTGACTTGCAAGAGTTTACGATGTGATCCGTTATTCCAGCGGTTATCGACGACGATACTTTTCAGGATGTTAGATTATCGAAATAGTTTCGCGTGTTGCTCGAACTTCGAAGCGACTACGAAGATCCCTCGACAGACGTTCTCGCGCGAGTTCCGTGACTCATGTTCGATCAGCCGAAATTGGACGTCTCTTCTTCCGAGAAAATCATCGATTCGATGTTAAGGCAAACAGAGGGATATTATTTCGAAACGTGACAGGTGGAACAAAAAAATGTACGGGGAAATGTCAAAGAAAATTGACGTTACGTTCGCGCGAGAGGAAAGAGAGGAAGAGCAAAAATGAGAGAAGCAAGCAAACTGAAGTGAGCAGCATTTGACGGCAAGTTCAAGTCACACTTCCCGCGTATCGATTAGTCTCGAACGTTGTCGAGTATCGCTGATTCTGGCATAGACGGTCGTTCGATGTATCGTTAACGAATTCTTTCCTTCTTGAATTAGGATAAGTACTATATTTGCTAAATTTTTATCAAATAAGTACTATATTTGATAAAAAGAGTACAATAAATATAAATTACAAAATTACAAACATTGTACAATGTTTACAATATAGAAGTATAAATTTTATGCATAATCTGCAGTATATAATGTAAGTTGTTGTATTTGCAATAAATATAATTAAATACAACAAATATGAAACGTAATACATAATCTATACAACAAAAACTTTGTTAATTATATTATTTCATATTACTGTTCTGCTTTACTTAATCTTCGTGAAAAAGATCCGATAAGTTTCGATTTATTGTCTTCAAATTGCTCTAACGCTGCTCCTATGGCTAAATTAGATGCATCTGTTTTTAAAATTAATGGCGCTGAAGTTGAAATGAAACTGGAAAACAGATTCGGAAGTAGAAGATAATCAGAGATCAGATATGAGCAATCCCGATTCACCAAACACTAATGCAAGAATCAAAACTTATTCAAACAAAAAAAGAAATAAATTCGCTCCAAATAATACCGTCAAACGATAAATTCTAGGCGCGGGGGGGGGGGGTATTGTGGCAGCGCGCGTATTTAGAAAAGCGAGTTTAATAAGATAAAATAAGATAACAGAAACTATTTGGTATTCTCAGTTGTTAATAATCAATCGAAGCAAACAGTCGTTGTAAAATTTTGTCACACATTGATATTAATAAATAGTTATTGTCATAGTATCTTGTTAAATCTCGTAATATATTTATTTAAATGAGTAACCTCAATAGTTTCGGTGGCGCCATCTGTAAGTTACAGGCACTACTAATTACTTTAAAAAACTTTTATTTGCGCATTTTACGCTTCAAATGGGTATAGTAGAAAGCAAGCTGAGGATTCAATTAACGGGATAAAATTACAAAAGTTTACAATTTAATTCTCTAAACTACTTTTTTTTTGGCAAATGAAAATTTGTCTGTTTCATGGGGTTGTAGATACGATGATCGACAAATAATAAAGTCACCGTACTACAAAGGAAAATTTTATAATTTACA